CTTTGATGTCCCTGTTTTCCATGCCTCCCATGTCCCTTCCATGAACAATTCTTTTAGTTCCACTTGCAGAATATATCGCAGACCCAGCTTCTGTAGACAGCCTCCATTGTCACAAGGCTCACCCAAGCCACTGTTAACTCTCAATTGGGCTGCCACAGCAGCCGCTTTAGTGGCTTGTTGCTTTTATGCTTGCCTTGTCATTACATTCTGCATAGCTAAGTAACTTTTACAAGTCCAAATTAATGCTATCACTGTGTCCTGGCCTTGCCTCTCTCTTAAACTCATGTTCTATTTGTTGTATTTGACCGGAGCGTAGAAAGTTATCACAAGACAAAAGTATGCCAGATTGCAGGGTCATTTATTATGCCGGCGACCACAGAGGACTCACGTCTCTCCAACCTGTGGTGGCAAAAGGAGGGTGCCATGATTTTTTATACCCGAAAAACCACCTTGGGAGTGGGCGTGAGGGGCAGGGATGGGGATGAAAAGGCTTCAGACATTCTGAGGGCTAGTGGATTCTGTAAATTACCTCCTGGGCAGAGATGAGGGTGGGGGTCTCCGGACATTCCAAGGGCCAGGGGACTTTTGTCATTCCGTTTGTTACTTAAGTGGTGTACAGAAGTCAAGATAAACATTTGTTTACACATTATCTGGTTAAGGTGGAAATCACAGACCTTAGTTACTTATTACAAGTCACAGGAGCCAGGATGGAACTAGCTTGGGCTGCTTAGTCTGGCAATTGCCGGTAAGCAAAGGCTAGCAATTCTGGCAGTTACTGATAAGAAAAGGTAAGCAGCTTTACATAGTGGCTAGTTTGCAAAGCAAACTAGCAGTTTTTATTTACAGTAGCCAAGGCTAGCAGTTATTGTGAGGAGAATGGGGCAGCCATTTCAACTTATCTAAAAACAGTTTTGCATTTTATAAAATAGTTTTGCTCTGGTTCTGGCTCTAGGCCAGCACAATATCACATATTCTCTCTCCTCCCTCCCTTCCTCCCTCCCTCCCTCACCATAGAGTCTCTGCATTTGCCAGTTGATCTGCCTGGAATGTTCTTTCCTCAGATTATCACATGGTTAGCTCCTTACCAAAAGAGGCCTTCTTGCTTTTTGATGTAGACGAAGCCCACCCCCAGTGACAGTCTCCATCATTTACCTGGATTCATTTTCTTCACAGCACTTATTGCTGTTGGGTGGATCTCCATACTGTTCTGTAGAGTTTAATACTTATCCCCCAAGCTGCTCAACTAGATGTATGCAGGGACTTTGCTCACTTCTATATCCCCAGTGCCTGGAAGAGTCCTGGCACTTAGTACATTTTTATTGCATTACTTAATTTAGAGATTTGAACGACTAGAGCAGAAGGCTGATTGGAGCTGATTGCAGAGTTTCTTGGACAATGAAAGCACATTGAGGGTCTTGTCAGTGGGAATGAAGGGAGTGGGGCAGGCAAAAATGAGGTCATAGGGAGAGCTAACAGATAAAAGCATTTAGAGCTTAGATAAGCTATAGGAGCCCAGGAGAAGTTTCTGGATTTGGTGGTAAAAGGAACAGTTTTGGAGGTGCCGAGTTTGAGTGCTGCTGGGGTGGAGGTGTCCAGCACACTGTTGCATTTTGAGATTATTCACGGATTTTTTTTGTTACCTGAGGGGCATTGCTAGCAAAGTTCATGACTCAGAAGATGCTAGGGGAAGCCATATTTCCTACTCAATGATAGCATGGCTATAGCAAGTGATTGAACCTCTCTGAAGCTCAGGTTCTTCATCTGTAAATGATAATAAAATGTTTCATGGCAGGGTTATTCTGAAAATTAAACTCCTACTCTCAATGTATCATATTTCCTCCCCCCCTTTTTTAGCTTATCAGTATGAGAGTTTATATTTGTTTACTTTAGCTATTCACATCTTAACTACATAGTATACTGTGATTCCATTTCATTTCTTGTACAAGTCTTGTTATTATTTTTTTGGTACCAGTCAGTCTTTCATCTCCAAACTTCCCTCAAAATCTGAAACATTTTTTTCTCAATAATTTCAAACCAACATGTATTCAGTTTATTTTTCCCTGCCCTTGGAATTACCTTTCCTGGCCTCCTCTGGCTTCATGCTCCAATTTGGACAGTTTGCTCTCTCAGTTTGCTGCATAGCTGTGCCATTGGAATCCCATTATCTTCTTTTGTTTTGGATCCTCTGCATCCAGATCTTATTTCTTCTTCATTATTTACCTCACTCCTTCATTCTGTCAATGCACAGTCATCCTGTAGCTTTCTGAGGAAGAATGCATGGGAGGTAAACTCTTTGAGACTTTGTAGCATTTTATTCTGCTTTTATACCATATTGACCTTTTGGCTGAATATAGAATTCTAGGTTGGAAATAACTTTTCCTCAGCATTTTAGTGCCTCATAATCTTTTAGCTTCAGGTGTTGTTGAGAAATTTGATGTCATTACAATACCCTTACTTCCCATGTGATCTTTTCTTCCCATTTGAAAGTTTTTAGACCCTTCTCTCCTTCCTTAGTATCTTAACATTTCATAGTGATAAATCTTCATGGGGCTTTTTTTCATGAGCTGTACTGGGAGGTTGATGGACTTTTCAATTTGAACACTCATCTTCAATTCTTGGAAATGTTTTTGAATTATTTCTTTGAAATTTTACTCCTTTTTTCTAGTCCCTCTTTCTGCAACTCCTATTATTTGCATATTGGATAATTCTGGCCTAGTCTTATTATTTTCTTATATTTTTCACTCATTTTTCATCTGTCTTTTTAAGGTTTTTTGTTTGGTTTTTTTTGAGACAGAGTCTTGCTCTTTTGCCAGGCTAGAATGCAGTGGCACGATCTCAGCTTACTGCAACCTCCAACTCCCTGGTCCAAGCAATTCTGCCTCAGCCTCCTGAGTTACTGAGATCACAGGCACACACCACCACGCCCAGTAATTTTTGTATTTTTAGTAGAAATGGGGTTTCACCATGTTGGCCAGGATGGTCTCAATCTCCTGACCTTGTGATCTGCCCATCTCGGCTTCCCAAAGTGCTGAGATTACAAGTGTGAGCCACTGTGCCAGCTTCTAATTTGTTGTTGTTGTTTTACTTTTTTTCTGCTCAGTACACCTGCCCAAATTTTCTCTGTGTTACTATTTTATTTTAGTCTCTGTCTTTCCTAAAACAGAGGACTAACTAATACACCTGGTAATCCTAGATTGTCTGTGCTTTTTAAATAGTTAAATACCAACTGTTTGGTATTAACTATTTAATAAACAACAAGCTGAACTAAAAACCTTTTGTGTATGAATCATACTTGTCATCTAGAAGCCCTTATTTAGGCAAGGACATGTCTTTTCTTTTGCAGGAGGTGGGGGGCGGACTCTCGAGTAGATCTTTACTCTTTAGTTGGCTGGGTTGCCAGAAAGGGATTATCCCATCACTTCTTGTAGGATATCAGCTTGATTTCTTGCATCCGAGGAGCTAGTTATTTCACTGTTTAGCATAAAGGCTTACACCTCAGCAACCTGTTTTCAGTATGCAGCCTCTTTCCTGCCCTGGGCTAACCCTGATGTTCCCAAGTCTCAACTCTCTGGTTCACCTTCTCTAGAGACTAAATACCCTGGCTTTCTCAGGGTTAGAGAGGAGTAACTTCCTTTTTGGAAAGGAACTGCAGTTCTGATCTTCTCTTCTAGATCAGAAGTTGGCAAAATTTTTCTGTAAAAGAGCCAGAGAATAAAGATTATGGGCTTTGCAGCCAATAGCATGGTCTTTGTGGCATATTCTCCTCCTTCTCTTCTTCCTCCTCCCCCCGCCCCCCTTTTTAACAACCCTTTCAAAAGTAAAGAGAGAACAAAATAATGGCATTCTTAGTAGGACAACCTCTGGTCTAGAGGATTCTTTTGGACACTCTCAGCCAACCATCTTTTATCATCTCTACCCTGTACCCATGCCCAAGTTCCTTCAAGAGAAACTTGAAGCCTTCAATTTCTGAATGCTTTTGCATTTTAATGGCAAAACTGGCTTGGTTTCCTGTGGGTTTTCTCCACTCCAATTTCCCCCTGCCCCATGAAAACTTAGGTTTCAGCTTTCTTGGGTTTGCTACGTGAGTAACCACTTACTTGTCTTCTTACCATTTTCCAAAAGGTCAGTTTTTTCCTTGTCTGCCACTTTCTCTGCCCTTATTGGGCTATGGCTTTTTTCATCCTTTTCCATCAGTTCACTAGGATTTGGGGAGGGACGGAGAAAACTGCATGTGTTTTATATATGAAGTTTAACCAGAAGCTCCCACCAAATCCAATTTAGTTGGGTTTGATTATTATTACACTCTTTGATAGTGCTTGGGTTAATTTTGCATTTGTTCTCCATGTGCTCACTTGCTATGCCAGATGTTTGAAGATGATGTCCTTAGGGAAGAAAAATGAGGGGTTTAAAATATAATGTAATTGAAATGCTCACAGTGGTTCAGTGTGTGAGATCTCAAAGAGGCCCAACTCTTTCTAACCACCAGACTCTCATCATAGAAATTCAGTTTCACCCTTATTTGTATGAACCATCAGAAGCATTTTAAAATGTTTATAATAAAGTTTGTAGCTTATTGTTTCAAATTGCATTTAAGGTAGTAAACTGAAGCTTTTGGTGGTGTGTCCCTGACAGCAGGGAGACCCTGTGGTAAGTGATCTCTCAGAGTTGATCAAAGGGAGTCGTTGAGCATTTTTTCCTGTATTTGTGTTTTGGTCCTTTAATCTGGTAGTGTTTCCAGTTCCGTTCTGAATACAGTAATGCACACTCCCTCCTCATCTTCTTGGCAGCGTGTGGCATTTTCTTTGCGAAATGGCCCCTGTTCAGGCATAAACCTGCCTTTGCCATCGAGTGTATAATGAGATATGAACAAAGGTGATTGTCAGAAAATGGGCATCTTTCAAGATCTTATTCATGCCATGTTTTTGTTTTAGTAATGAAATGAAAATTGAAAATTAAAAAAAAAATTCACTGAAAAATGACTGCTAGTCCTCTCTGCCTAGGTTCACCTTTCCTCGCCAGTGAAGATGGCGTGCTTGGCGGAGTGATTGTTCTCCGTTCGTGCAGATGTTCTGCTGAGCCTGACTCCTCCCAAAATAAGCAGACACTTTTAGGTAAGTGAGACATAAGCATTGTGTGCATCTTTCTCTTTTTCCATATGTAAACATGTAAAAGATGAATGTTTATTTTTAAGTATAGGCTTAGCGAATATCTTTCAAATAAGCTTAGAACCAAGGACCTTTACTAAAGTCCAGTAATAAGAACATTGGACCATGTATTCATGGCCTATCCTATTCCAGAAAGCATTTGAGGTGACCCATAGCAAGGTACACAGTAATGGAGAGAGAAGCTTCTTCATGTTTCCCTTCTCCGAAAGGAATGAGAAGCGTGTGAAGAGCTACTGGCCTAGAGGTCAGTCCTGCCTCTGTGGCTCGCTAGCCATGACACCTTTGTGCATTGGTCTCACTGTTCTGTGCCACTTCCTCATCTGTAAACCACGGACGTCTGCCCTGCCCTCCTCTTAAAGCTGTGGTGAGGGAGGGTCAAATGAGTGTTTTTGCAGAGTTGCAGATGTCCATCCAGATGTGTGGTTTTGTTTCTTAGGTTGCTCCAAGGAGATGTGTTTTTTAACAGTCATGTTTTGTTAAACCAAGACAAGTAGTAGTTTTTTCCTTTGGTAAAACTACTATTAATCATCGTTGAATCTTTTGAACATTCTTCCAGTTAGATAGTTAAACCCAACCTGGTTAGCTTTAAATATATACAGAAGATGGACATGGGCTTTCCATAAAACATTTGCAGGGACATGGATGAAGTTGAAACCCATCATTATTTGCAAACTAACACAGGAACAGAAAATGAAACACTGCATGTCCTCACTCATAAGTGGGAGTTGAATAATGAGATCACATGGACACAGGGAGGGAAACATCACAAACCGGGACCTGTTAGGGCATGGGGGACTAGGGGAGGGATAGCATTAGGAGAAATGCCTAATATAGATGATGGGTTGATGGGTGCAGCATATCACCATGACACGTGTATACCTATGTAACAAACCTGCATGTTCTGCACATGTATGCCAGAACTTAAAGTTTTTTTTTTTTTTATTTTTTTCCCTAAAAAACCTCAGAAGAATAACCCTTAGTGTTTGGGCAGTGGTGGGTAGAGGAGCATTAAAATTACTTCATCGAGTATTCCTAGAAAGGAGTATCATAGTACTTTGCTGAGCCTGGAATCTTGCCCATTTATGTTAACCCTGAAAACTGTAAGGTCTTTCCGGTTGTGTTTTCACTTTTGGTGGTATAAAAATGCATATTTAAGGATAAGTTATAGTATTTTAGCTCATGTTATATAGATTTTATTACCACTGTAGTGATTTGTAAACTGGTTCCTACTCTTTATTTCAAGAGGAAGCATTAAGTGTGAAGTGCCAATTTATGAAATAAGTGAAATCTTGCCATTTGTTAACTGGAGGGGTTGATGCTTGTGAAGCTTATCTACTAAAACCTGGTGAACATAGGCTAATGTCAACTTATAGATGCTACCGATTATGTGGACTTTTTATTTGTCACTTAAAAAAGTTATGAATGTTAAGTAAGTGGTGAGAAAATAAATTCAAGCTGTATAGAAGGATAGAAAACAAAGTAAATTCAAACAGTATAGAAGGCTAGGAATCAAAAATGTGAAAGTCACCTTTTACACTCCATTTCCAGAGCCACCAGTCATTCTTTGGTTCTGGTTAATCTCATGGGAAGCACCCTCACTGTGTAGAATGTGCTTACACATCCATTTCTTGATTAGTCAGTAACTTGTGACCCCTTGCTGTGAAAAAATTAAAAACTTAGCTCACACCATATACCACTTCCCTTCCTTCCTGATTTTTGTTGGAATTCTACTTTAACTTGAAATAATACTTCTAATTTTATTGTACTCTAACACAGTTTCTTGATTTAGTAACTTTGTATAATGTCTATCAAACATTCCCCACCACTTCAACGATGTAAGTTGAAGAAAGTTCATGTGCTGTTTTCTGTTAGTCTGTTTTCTGTTGTTTATAACAGAATACCTAAAACTAGCAGAATACCTGAGTAATTTGTAAAGAAATTAATTTATTTTCTTAAGTTGTGGAGGCTGAGAAGTCCAAGGTCAAGGGGCTGCATGTGATGAGGGCCTTCTTGCTGGTGGGGACTCTCCAGAGTCCCATAGGGGCACAGGGCATCACATGGTGAAGGGGCTGAGTGTGCTAGCTCAGGTCTCTCTTCCCTTCTTATAAAGCCACCAGCTCCAGTCCCATGATAACCCATTAATTCATGAAGGTATTAATCCATTTCATGAGGGCAGAGTTCTCATGACCTAATCACCTCTTCAAGGTCCCACATCTTAATACTGCCATATTGGGGAATAGGTTTCAACATGGATTTTGGAGGAAACATTCAGACCCTATAGTATTCACTTTTCTCCTTTTCTTTCCTCTTTCACTCCCCTACCTCACCTCAACCTCTGTAAACAATACCATTGTTGCTGTTGTTATCGTTTGCCTTCTTACATCTATACTTATCTCTGTAGTTGATCAGGGGTTGATTCTAAATAGTGTCAGTAACCAGCATTGACAGTATCAAGATTATAGTATAGTATTGCCCACTGCATGCCCTGGAAGTGGAAGATCAGACCCATAAAGAGCAGTGTTTGTCATAAACCTCTGCCTATAGAAGGAGACTATTTCAGTCATTGAGATCAAGTGGATTCTCCTTTTTATCAATTGCTCCAAATCAGGCTACAACTTAATTTGCTTCATGTTTGGACCATGACTTCCCATTTATTTCTTTTTCACTGTCATGAGAGTATAACTTTATAAACTCATGGCTCCTGGATGCTCAGTAATTTCTAGTAACCAGGAAATCTCAGAAGTCTTTATTTTCTACACATCCAAATAAAGCAATTTCCAAAAAAAAAAAAAAAAGAAAAAAAAAAAGAAAACTTAACTACTGTATATTGTTAATCACTTTTTTGGTCCCAAGAATAATATAATCACATAATCTCCTACTATAGCCTTTTCTGTGTTCACTTTCTTTTCTCAAAATCATAATGTTCTCATTACACCACAAAAGCAGTTTCAGTCTAACCTCATTGCCACTTGATGGAGTTTCCTTGAAGCCATTATGTAGGCTCTCCTCTTGACAAATACATTGTCAGAGCCTCAGTGAGCTGCTTCCAGGGTGATAGGACTCAAGTACTGGACACTTTTGAGGTTTGTCCTTTGTCTACTGATTCATGAATAGAATAGGAAAATCTCAGGTATGAAGGAACTTTCAAAGTCTACTTGCGTGACCCTGTTCCAGGTGCTTTGTTTATAGATTGTTGAATACACCTCCCTTCAAGAGGTGGAGCTCAATTCCCCTGTCCTTGACTGTGACCCGAATACTAGAGACTCGCTTCCAACCATAAGATTATGGCAGAAGTGACAGTGTGCGATTTCTGAGACTAGGTCAAAAAGGCATTGTGGCTTCCTCCTTGGGCTTTCTGTTGAATCACTCCCTCTGGGTGAGACCAACTGCCATGTTAGGAGGACACTCAAGCAGCACTATGGAGAAGCCCATTTTGCAAAAAACTGCAACTTCCTTCCCAACAGCTGCTTCTGAGAAACTAGGGCTTCCTGCCAACAGCCTCAGAGATCTGAGGCTTCAGATGACAGCATCTCATTGGAGGTCCTTAAAAGAACGACCCAATGAAGCCACTGTGGAATTTCTGACCCACGGGAACTGTGAGATAATAACTGTTTGCTGTTGTAAACCACTACATTTTGGGAGAATTCATTATGTAGCAATAAATAATAAACCTTTTAAGCCCTTTCTTCTAATAAGCCACAATGACAAATCAAGGTGGTCTGTTGCCATCTTCAAGCAGCTGTTGGGTTTTGGTTTTCATCAGTAGATCCTGGTTCTCTTTTTGGGGACCCTCTGGGATAAATCTGATGAGTGTCTTCTTAGATTGCAGTCTCTAGTCAAGTTTCCCTGACCTCTTAAGCCTCCTCACTTCCAGCCTTTCCTTCTCTGTTTGTCCCCTCAGTCCCATCTTTATTATTGCTCCCAGAGTTCTTTCTATATACCAACTCTGCAGCTGGCCCAGAGAACAGAGCCATAGGTCCCAAACCAGGGACAGGAGAGGAGACTTCTCCAAAGAAGAAAGGGCAAAAATGAGAACCTGACCTAGAGAGCCACACGAATCGCAAGATCAAAAGGACACTGTTCGACCCAAGAGTGACATAAGTATATGAAATTAGTTTACCATGTGTCTAAGCCAAATGTTGAATCTTTTTGTGTATGCTACAATAAGACAAACATATAACTCTTACTGTTCACTTCCATGCTCCCTACCTTTAACTTTTCAACAAGACACACACACACACACGCGCGCCCCGTCTGCTAGTGAATATCCTATAGGACAGATGGGACACACACACACACACACACACACACACACACACAGACCCTCTGCTGCTGAATTTCCTATAGGACAGATGGGACACACACACACACACATACACACACACACACAGACCCTCTGCTACTGAATCTCCTATAGGACAGATGGGACACACATGCGCGCGCACACACACACACACACACACCCTCTGCTGGTGAATATACTATAGGACAGATGGGAGACATACATATATACACACACACCTTCTGCTGCTGAATTTCCTATAGGACAGATCACACACACAAACACACACCCCCCCACACCCTATACTGGTAAATTTCCTATAGGACAGATGGGAACTACCTAACTTGATGAGAAATGCCATCCCCTGATCTCACCTCAGAATATGCTTTCAGTGTTATTTCTTTTTTTTTTTTTAATTAATTTATCTTACCTTTGGTGCATACTATATCTGGCATTTCTCTCCATGTTATCCCTTCCCACCCTCCCCTCCCTCCCCACCTCCCACTGTCTCTCCCTTACCCCCCCCAACTGCCCCCAGTGTATGATGCTCCTCTCCCTGAGTCCACGTGTTCTCATTGTTCAACACCCACCTATGAGTGAGAACATACAGTGTTTGGCCTTCTGTTCTTGTGTCAGTTTGCTGAGAATGATGGTTTCCAGATTC